TATTTTTTATATATTTCAGATATTTTTATAAAAATGTTTACAACTTAGATTCACACTCACAGAATTCACACTCCCAGACAAATGTCTACCACCACACATGTAAAAACACAACTTGTAACAAACTTGTAGGAATGCTGTTCCAACAGCTTGTCATCAGGATGTGTTCACACAGCTAGCTTTCAGTTCCCAGCTTGTTGACAAATTGTCAACGGCTTGTTGACAACTTGCTACAAGGTTGTTGAGCTCAACAGACTTGTTACAAGTTGCTTCAACAACTTGTTATCATCCTGTCAATTTTATTTGTCAACAAGTTGTGAGTGACAACCTTGTAGCAACTTAAAAATAACAGCATTGTTACAACTTGTTGTGAGTTGTTGACAAACTTGCTATACAAGCCTTTTGCAAACACATCTTCACATGCAAAATCTCACATCTTGTACGTAGCAAGTCTGCATGCCAACAAGCCGTCAACAAGATGTGTTCGCATTGCTTGCCCCAAGTTGTCAACAAGTTTGGAACAAGCTGTTAACAACTTGTAGCAACCTTGTTGATATTATCAGACTTGTTGCAAGGTTGTTCCAACAAGGCGTAAATAAAAATACCTGTGGTTCTGGTTTCATATCGCAAAAAAATTAGGGTCGGTAGGTTGGAAATTTTTTTTTTAAATATTTTTTTTCATGGTTTTTTCAATAATTAGTCTAATTAGTGTGACAACAGATGCCATTTTGGCAGCAGCCCGCAACCACCCAGAGAAAATAGGGTCACACGGTCAATTGCATTGAAAAAATAATAGGGTCAGCAGAAAAAAATAGGGTCGGTCGGGAACGGAACCACAGGTATTTTTTTTTACGCCCAAGTCTGATACAGTCATGATATAACAATATTAATTGTTACATTCTTGTGTTGTCAACATTAATTGCAACATTTTTGTTATATCATGATTCAGGACTGTATCAGACTTGTTAGAACAACCTTTGTAACAAGTTGGATAATGCCATCAAGCTTGTTACAAGTGGTAACAGCTTGTTCCAAACTTGTTACAACAACTGGGAACAAGTAGACGTGTAAACACAATTTGTCGGACAGCTTGTGAACAGATTTGTAACAGCTTGTTTGCAGACCTAGCTGTAACAATTAACCTGTGAGTTTTTTCGTGTGTTGTTGACACTTGTGAGATTTTCATGTGTCTAATTGTGTCTAATGCTGAAAGGAATCCCATCCCTTTATATTTAGGCTTATGGCGACAATAATTGACAAATGGATTTCGTATATTAAAATCATTTTGATTCCACCTAATTAACTATTAAGTACATACTTTATTAAAAATATATATAGGAAAGATATATTAAAACTTTAAACGATCAAAGATTAAACGATATTTGAATGGGAAATATTTTTACATTCAACTACAATTCACATAAAATACTATTATTAATATTTAATTGCTACAGTCTCAAAAGTCACACCTACCCATATATTGTTTCGCCACCAAAATATTCCCCTTTGTTCGTACGAATTGAAATCTGATTCATGATTTTAAAGCATGAAAACAAGCATGTGGATTGCCTGTATGACGACAGTTCAATGTGCTTTTTCTAGAGCAAAATTGCAGGAATTTAAACAACGTTTTCACCCCGCTAGAACGATATCGATATTGGGATTTGGAACACAATATCACTTACACTTACTGGAACGATGCGTTACCTCTCCCCACCCCCACCCCCCGGAAACGTGCTGGCTTTTCCGTATTTGGAGAAAAAAATAACAAAGGAAACCAATTTTCCTGTGTTAATTTTGAAATAAAACTTTACTCTAATCCACTACGAGTAAATTTAATACAGAAAAATATCCGGCAATAACTATAAAAAATTAAAAATTCTAATAGATTATATGTAGCCGGGGGCAATTGAGATCAGTGTCCAATCGGAATATGTCGTACACGATCGTGCCTCTTCGGATAATTAATTATTAACTGTAATTACTGTATTTTAATCTATGATTTTAATCATGTCAAAATGGCCGCTCGAACGCTTGCACACATTCGGCTTTTTGCGAAAACTAATCTAATACGACAACGTTCCAAAGGTTCTATTCAAGAGGCATTAAACCCAAGAGTATCGCGGTCAATTTCGACAACTCTTCGGGTGCTAAATTCGTCCGACGGCGAAAATAATGAAAACTCAAAAGTTGGTAAACAGACGCGTCTTTTGCGCGTCGCTGTGATTGGCGAACCGAATAGTGGGAAATCTACCTTGACTAATAGTTTGGTTTTTAATCAAGTTTCAGTGGTAACACACGTACCACATACCACAAGACAGCGGACTTTAGGCGTCTATACTGAAGGTATGTATTGTACAAATCGAAATATATGTTCGCCACGGTGTATATTTAAAATATCCTCGAATTCCAGAAAACTATAAAAGTAGCTATGTTTTATTAATATACTACTTTGGGGGTTATTATTTAAAAGATTATTTTAACTGGCTTAGGTTATTTTCAACAGTGAATTTGCTTGGGGCATTACTTCTTTAAACAATGAATTAGTTATTATTAAAATGAAATGAAAGTGAAGCACAGCCACAGGGGCACAGGTGACGGTCTGGTGACCAAATTTATTCGCTGACAATGCCATGTTGTTTGCAAACTAGGATAAAAGTATTGTACTGACTGTCAGATGAATCTCTGCGAACTGAAGATTGAAGTTTTATCATAGGCAGCCCAATGTTATGGTCGTAACGAAATTCTTGTTGCCTGCGCATGGGCGACGTAAAGGCCATTTTCCATTGCAGTTGTTTCGTCCGTGCGGGCGGAACAAACATTACTCAACTTTCTCTGTAGTTGCCTATCCTGTGCATTTTTTGTCCGCCTGAATGCTTGCAGTCACACCGTGAAAGTAGAACTACATTCAACTTTCTTGGCGTGCCCGGGCGACTGATTTTTCACATGATTAAAATTGGTCGCTCCGCCCGTGCAGGCAAAGCGACTGCAATGGAAAATGGCCTTAATTCACTGGCAATACTCAATGTAGGCATAATATACTTTAGTATAAATTGTTAAATATTATATACTTTATATTATGCCTACATTGTGTATTGCCAGTGATTTACGTCGCCTGCACGCAGGCAACAAGAATTTTGTTACGACCTATGGTTGTGTGAATCATTTCCAGGTACTTTTCCAACCTCGTTCCCAGGCTTTTAGTTCTCAGAATCATTTTGTTAACAGTTTAGGGGCAGACTTGTCCTGCAATACAAAATGGGGTGTCCGGACCCGCATACATTTTTTTTACGAAAAACGGGGAGACTGATGAAAACGGGGAAACTGACGAGAAACGGGGCGGAGGGGGGTGTAACCTCTTGATGTTAAATTCATATATGAAGCCAAATATACCAAATCTGCTCAATTAATCCACTAAGCTGCAGAGCTTCCCCATTGACTAGTAAAATCGTCTGGCATCAGACAAGTAAAAAAAATAAGTAGGCCGCATTGTGGCTCAATGGGTTAATCTGTGTCATAAAACATGTACCGGGGTATGCAATTGCATGAAATAAAAGCTGACAAATCTAATTAACTTTTTTCATGCAGGTAACAGTCAGCTGGTGTTACTGGATACTCCAGGGATAGTAACAGTTGACGATGGTAAACGTCTAAAAATGTCGAAGGAACACATGCGTACACCTGCAAACTGCCTGGAAGAAGTCGACTTAGTGGCCGTACTGACGGACACGTCGAACAAATATCAGCGAATCAGAATCCACCATGAAATAATCAACCTACTTGAGACACACCCTGACTTGCCGACCATACTAATCTTGAACAAAATTGACCAAATTCGACACAAAGTGAAACTGCTGCACTACTCAGCCATGCTCACAAATGACAGACAGAAAGATAAATGGGGTTATTTACCACACGGAGGGTCGAGTAGGTTTGATTATGTATTGATGGTATCCGCTTTGACTGGCGATGGTGTTGATCAGTTGCGGCAATATATGGTTGCCAAGGCAATGCCAGGAGAGTGGCCATATTCGGCTGGTGTGACGACAGACTTAGATATTCAAGAACAAATTGCTGAGGTGTTTCGAGGGAAATTATTGATTTTGTATAAACATGAGATTCCTTGGCAAACTAAGCAGGTTGGTAGCACTGATCTCAAAAATAACTGGGTTGTCCACCCTGTTAATTGAACATTGCTTAAAGTGTATATGAAATGAAATTTCTTATTTTCTTAAATGAAAGAACTCTTTAAGATGTAGACTAAGTGTAACTTATTTTTCAGTTTCTTGTTTTTATGGTTTGTTCCCGAGATATTTCAATTTGTTTGATATGTAAATGAGTGTGAATATGTCCGCTAATTTATGACGTCACGTTGGTTGCAAGCTCTTCAAAATGGTTGAATATCACTGCTATCCTCCAAGATGATAATTTCAAACTTCACTCACTGGTAAATGTGATGAAACACTGGAAAAAAACGTGAACTGATAGTCTACCGGGTGTCCCAAAAAAAAGTACTCCGGTTTGATTCGTAATAACTTCTAAACAAGTAAACCTTTTAAAGAGAAATAACTTGCATCATGTAGAGGAAGGACTAACTTAGATTTTGATATATTACAGAATGTATTGCACTTAAAAATTCACGGAGATATTAATGTTTAAATTCGGGAGCATATTTCTGGATGTGCTGAAATATGCAAAAAACAGCGTATCAAATATTAATCAAGATTTGCCCGACTGAAACATGCACGATTACCAGTAAATAAATGACACTTGACAAATTGTTTATTATGAAACAAAGTCTGTATTATTATCTACAAAATACAAGCAAGATTTATTCGTCCGAAATCTGTGTGTGTTCCTAGCACGAATACGTTTCCTTATTTCATGAGACCACTGCATCGCGAAGGATCGTCATGGATCGTTCGTAGTTCTGAATTAGGGCATGCTGTCACAATGGAATTGTGAAGCTCTTCTAACTTCTTCAATGTTCTGAAATCTTGTTAAAAACACTCAAACTCATTTGCCTTTTCTTAATCGTTTTAAGTTCAGAATAAACTGAGAATGAAACACAATCAAACCATACAACTCCACAAGACATAACAATTAAGCATGCAACTCCCTGGAGACATCCAACATTCTTGGAACAAAACGTAACAAAATAGTAGCGTTGATACTGTGATGTGTATTTGCAAAAAGCAATATTATTTCCTTCATTGCAGAATAATATTCATCCTGCTCTAACCGAGAAATAATCAACTCTGTTTTGAACCCATGAAAAACATAAAAAAATTAGGCTAAGAAAAATTTAAGCGCCTGCCTTGCATGGTCTTTCATGTACCTTATAAATTTGTAAAGTTTGTAAAAACCTATTAAATACTTGCATAATTTCGTACGTTCATATTTCAGGAAACAATGAGCTAAGACTTAGCTTACATGTAAGAAGTCTAAATCTACGCCATATCCCTTACAAACCCTAACGACAATTCGCTGAAATACAAGTTAGCCTGATATGTCAAATTAGCCTGATATGAAGTTAATATTTGATATGCCGATTTTCGCTAATTTTAGACACATCCCAAAATATGCTCCCGATTTTGAACATTAATATCTCCGTGAATTTTTAAGTAAAATACAACTGTAATATATCAAAATCTAATTTAGTCCTTCCTCTATTTAATGCAAGTTCTTTCTGTTTGGTAGCTTTACTTGTTTAGAAGTTATTATAAATCAAACCGGAGTACTTTTTTTTGGGACACCCGGTACAGTTTTTAGAGTTAATACATTTATAACCAGTGTAAGTTGAGCTTGCAACCAACATGACGTCATAAATTAGCGGACATATTCACACTCATTTACATATCAAACAAATTGAAATGTCTCGGGAACAAACCTAAAAATAGGTACGCACTGCGTACATGTTGCATGCCATCTGAAACTTATGATCATAGATATCTTATATAAGATATCTATGCTTATGATGCGGTATAGCGTTTATAACCTTTGGTACAACTGGCGTGAAACTTAAAATATCGATTCAATAAATTTAATATCAATATATTTATTGCAAAATAGCTATTATGTCAAAATAAGAACTATAAGAAAACTTAATTAAGACTCTCACGCGAATTTGCCTACGGTGTAGACCCCAGCAGAAACACGCGAATATAGACAATGTGTTTTAAGCGACCGTTAATAGTTAGTTGCAAGCGACGGTAATAATAACATTGAAGGGAGTCAAGGGACCCTACAGTCATTTTTTAGTCGAAAAGCCACCTTAAGTAGGGGACTCCACGGAGATTCGTTTGGCTGTATCTTACATACAGTATCCATGAATATGAGTACTTCGCACACCGGAAGACGCATGCATGCCGTGATGCGCATGTCAAGTAGCGACAATAATAAAAAATGTAAACAATACTTACGTGACTAAAAAATTACTGTAGGGCCCCTTTAACAATGTCAAGGCGGGTCAAGGTTTTATCAAAAGCGATTGACTGTTAGATTTACTTTACAAATTAATAACTAAATAACGTTATTTCCTATAGATATAGCTTTATTGTAACTTTTTAATGGGTATAAAAAACCCGTAGAAACGGTGAATTACTACAATAGATTGAAAATGATTACTATTTATCATTTTGACGTTTGAGTGATTGAAATGAGTTAATTTACACTATATCGAATGTCATGTTGAATCTTATGCGTACTTCACAATGGTTGCTATTTCGTTGTATATTTCAATCTCGATTTCAATTGTATTACTATTTATAATTTAAATTGTGTTTGATATTTATATTTCATGTTGTTTACAAAATGTGCTGTAGTTTTGAAGCTTTGCACACAATATTATCAGTGCGAGCACAATGGCTCCGTTTCAGTTCGAGTATATAAAAATCGAGTATTTTGATAGCGTTCGCGAGTTTGAGGCTTTCAAATGCATTACTATATTTATAATTTAAATTGTGTTTGATATTTATATTTCATGTTGTTTACAAAATATGCTGTAGTTTTGAAGCTTTGCACACAATATAATCAGTGCGAGCACAATGGCTCCGTTTCAGTTTGAGTAATAAAAATCGAGTATTTTGATAGCGTTCGCGGCTTTGAGGCTTTCACAATATATAAATATAAACGCGTGATAGTTGATAAATAATCAGTGCGAGCACAACGGCTCCAAAAACACAACACATAACAAAATATAAGGTAAGTTAATTAAAACAGTAAAGCTTTACCTACCTCGATTTATTTTTCTAAGGCGCTCGATTATGTAAATTTTCGGCGAATAATCAATATATAAATTTTCTTTGCGTTTCCTCGACGAAAACCCGGCATGAAAATGCTCGTCGGAAACTCGGTATTTGTCGTATTTTACGAATCTGCCACGTGACTGGTACGCTCACCGACCACCGCCAGTGAACTCTAATAAGACTGGAACGATAACTCGGCCGCCATCTTTGAAGCCAAATTGAAGGCCGCCATTGGAGGTACGGAGGCAAAAATACACCTCTTCGAAAAACTCGGATTTCTGCCTTTCTATCTATGCTAGAACATAAGTAAAAAGCATAAAAACATCTACGATACTTGGACTATTGCACAAATCATGTTTGGAAGCCGTAGAAAAGACTTAACGTTATTTTTGTGTACCCGAAAGTCGTATTTTGTTCGGCACCGAAAATATTTTGTTATTTTCTTGAATACAAAAATGGTACCTTTTGAGATTTTGCTGTTAGTGGATGTAGAATACTTAGAACTATCCAGAAAACCAAGTTTGAATCTTTGAAATTGAAATCTTCGGACGAAAAACCTAATTTTTCGGTGTATTTTTGCTAAAAAAACAAAATTACGAGGAAATTTAACTCTCCCCAGTTCTTTTTTGAAAGTCACAGCGCGCGAACTTCTCCCGGGCGCCAAATCACAAATCGCAAATCACGGGGGATTTCTACGGAAAAATCGATTTATTCACGTTTTAGAGAAGTCAAAAAGCACTTAAAATAAACAACTATACCTAGACGTTAATACAAAAAAGGTATTGGTCCGTAGACTTACGTTTTAAAGTTGTTTTTTTTAGTTAAAGAGCAAAGTTCACTTCGGCACGTTCGACTAGTGTCGTTTTTATGAAAACAAACCTGATACCCTTCAAACTTTTGCTGTTGTAAGATGCAAAGCAGTTCTAACTATCAAATAAATCGTATTTGGGTTTTTAAAATTGAAGTCTTTTGATGAAAAACGACTTTTTTTTCGTCGAAAATAAACTTTGACTGAATTTTCCACTCCTCGAAACTCTCCTTAGTCCTTTTAAAAGTGCAATTTCCTTGCTCGGTTGGCTTCAGGCATGTATGGGCATGTTTACCTGAGTTATCGTTCCAGTCTTATTAGAGTTCACTGACCACCGCTCACCGAACACGACACGAAATTTAGAGCTATATGAAAGTTGCATGCCATATATGGCATGCAACAAAAACAAGAAACTGAAAAATAAAGGGTACTTTTTTTACACACTTTTAGACAACCTTGGCTAAAAAAAGTGACCCTTTACAGTAGCCGGTTAACATACCTGGGAGCCGTGCTCGACTTCCTTTTCCGAGAAATTTGTTGTCATTTATACCTATTAACTATATTTTTTAGGTGAACATATTTTGTAAACAGAAAGAGGACGGTGTCCTTAAAATCCATCAAAAACTCTACTGTCGTCGAGATAGTCAAAGAAGATGCATTTTGGAGAAAATAGATGAACTACGACACAGTGCAAAAGATGAAATTGAGAGTATGCTAAGTTGTCAGGTTGAATTGACTCTTGAAGTCGGGGTCTCTAAAGCTATGGTACATAACCCCGTCCCGATGGTTTGAATAAAACTATATATGCTTCTTGTCACAGAACTAATTTTTCAGAATTGCAGGATTATTTTAAAATTCTCGCGTTGTTGTAGGAATAATTTATTACTATTAATGTATTATAATTATTATTTAAACTTATTATTACTGTATATATACTTTATCTTATATGAATTGAAATTTTGTATTAAATTTTGTTATTGTTTGAGCATCCATACATGTCCAATACTGTCGCATGCATACGGATGGACAAAATTATTTACCATCCGTAACCTATATTTTCGTTTCGTGACTTCCTTTCCATCACGTGGTCTGATCTAAATAATTGCATCATGCTGCGCATCCTGCATGCACCCCACGAAACACCTTACCATCCGTACGAATCGTACGGATGGTACGGACGGAAAATCTTGAGTTTACGATCCGTCTGAGCGAGCACACTACACCGTTTCATGTTTCGAGCAGCTCCATACACAGCTCCATATGCATACAATTTACTCGTTCTTATATGTGTCAAAACATTCGCGCAAATGACGCAATTTATCAATATAATATGTCGTTGCTTCGTTCTTAAGAAACGACGCAATATATCAATATAATATTTGTTGTTCTTGTCAAAAGATTCACGCAATATATGAATATAATATATCGTTGCTTCGTTCTTAACAAACGATGCAATATATCAATATAATATTTGCTGTTGCTTGTCAAAAATTAAGAAACGACGCAATATATCAATATCAGTATTGTTGCTTGTCAAAACATTCACGCAATATATATATATCAATATAATATGTCGTTGTTTCGTTCTTAACAAACGATGCAATATATCAATATTGAATATTTGTTGTACGTTGCTTGTCAAAAATTAAGAAACGACGCAATTATATATCAATATCAGTATATTGTTGCTTGTCAAAACATTCACGCAATAGTCTATATATCAATATAATATGTCGTTGCTTCGTTCTTAAGAAACGACGCATTATATCAATATAATATTTGTTGTTGCTTGTCAAAAGATTCACGCAATATATTAATGATAATATGTCGTTAATTGCTTCGTTCTTAAGAAACGACGCAATATATCAATATAATATTTGTTGTTGCTCGACAAGAGATTCACGCAATATATCAATATAATATGCAATATATCAATATAATATTAAGAAACAACGCAATGTATCAAAATAATATGTTGTTGCCTCGTTCTTAAGAAACGACGCAATATATCAATATCAGTATATTGTTGCTTGTCAAAACATTCACGCAATATATCAATATAATATGTCGTTGCTTCGTTCTTAAGAAACGACGCATTATATCAATATAATATTCGTTGTTGCTTGTCAAAAGATTCACGCAATATATCAATACAATATGTCGTTGCTTCGTTCTTAAGAAACGACGCAATATATCAATATAATATTTGTTGTTGCTTGTCATAACATTCACGCAATATATCAATATAATTATAATATGTCGTTGCTTCGTTCTTAAGAAACGACGCATTATATCAATTTGTTATTTATTGAGCGTTCTCTGACTTAATATATATTTCTACGAGCTTTCGGCTATCAGTCTATAGCCTTCGACGGGTGTATACAAATGATTCTAGACATTCTATAAAGGACGCTAAAATTAAGTACTAAGTAGGTGGTATGAAATCTGAGACTATCTTATCTATGCTATGTTACAAATGTGTAATTTTTTATTTATTTATTTAAAAATTCGCCCTATTTACATAATTAAGATAGAATATACAGTATAACGTCTGTTGAATACTAGAGCTAGGAGCCTTTAAGAAACTTTAAGAAGCTTTTAGTGCAAGGCCCCTATTACAGCAAATATTAAATTCAAACGATAGCTATTTGTCAGTTAATATATAGTACATAAAATTTTAAAGAAAGTTGTGATATAGTTTTACAATAATATAGATATACAACAAATATGAAGTTAGGAGTGCATGATGATGGAAGCATTGTTTTTACCCTACATTGTTTTAGACGTCCATGAATAATATAATAATGTAATACGAATATAATGTAATACGAATATTTAACTAATTAATGTTTCTTGAGTTCCTTTCTTAAAGGTGATCTACAGTCCGATCTGCGCATGTGCACAAAGGAGCCCACTTTTTATGATACAAACAGTTTAACTATGTTTTGGGTTCTTGAAAAGCCTGATTATTGTTTCTTGATAATTTATTATACTCTAGAAGCTTGAAAATATAAATAGTTGTCGAATAAAGCTCAATATTTTGGACACAAAAATGTAAACAAAGGCTTTGTTTACATCCGGACTGTAGAGCACCTTTAAAAGAATTGTGTACTGTGCTGGAAGCGTATTAGAGTTATTATCAGCTTCGTCTGTTAGTGCAGTGTGCCAGGACTCTAAAGTTTTAAGGTTTCTATGATTTTCCTTGTCTATCACTTTAGCATTGGCAAAGTCAATTATATGGTCTTGAGTCCATGCGTGTTTTGCAACATTCGATCCCTTCTTGCTGTGTTTTACATTCCTTACATGTTCAGACTTTCTCGTCTTCAGGGATCTTCCTGTTTCGCCTATGTAGCTCCAACTACAATCTTGACATGGTATTTGGTAGACCCATAGATATCTCATATACACTAGATAGCGCATCCCACCCTGTAGCCGGGCGAAAATTGAAGCCTGATCGCAGTCGCATTTTACGCGTGGCGGCCATATTGGTCGTTCCCACGGAGCGTGATAATTTGTATATTTTGTATTGCGGAAATGGACAAAGTTGACCATAAATCCTCTTTTATGCAGTCAATTTTGGGTTTCTAAGTGTGGAACTTGTTGTCAACGATGCCAGATTATTGGAGCTTCATATTGTGAATAACGGGTAGGCAAAATTTAATTATTTTTTCTGAAAATATCAATATTTGTCGACCCGTATGAAGGGCGGCCATATGACAACTATGGACAAACCATTGCGATTTTTCAATATTTTGCTGTTAAATATATCATGTTGTGTGTGGAACTAAGATTTTGATGCATATTCATATATAAATATAGTTCCATCAATTCCAAATGAGACATTTTGAGCTAGTATCGCCATTGCTTCATGGCAAAATTGTAAATGTATTTGTGAAAGACGGCAACATTGAAAAACATTTTAGTCACAGTTTTGTTTTAGTCACGGCAACATTGAAAAACATTTTAGTCAATATAAAACATGGAATGAACCAAACCAAAAATGATTCTTACTTCTTAGTATGTGTATATTTATTTACATACAACATATCATGTATTATTTTATAGTTCCATGGAATCACATCATGATCAAAATCTATTAGAAGCTAGAGAACAATTGTAACTATAATATTCGCAAGCAATATAGTAACGTAATTGCTACTGTTTTATGTAAATATAGTTGATAATCCAATGGCATAATTATGCTTCAAACTATCTTTAATTGATGTTAAGAAACATTTCTTTCTATTGAGTCCTGTGAGTACAAGACCTTTTGCTTTTAATCCAAGCAATCAAACTGCCAAATTACAGTAATAGGTCACTGTATTAATACAGTAATTTGTATTTTAGAACGGCTTTAGGCTAATATGGGAAAACCTGTTTTGTAATGACACACATTATTTCTTGCATTATAGTATAAGATCAGTGAAATAAACTGCTTGATGCACAGTAACTTTTATAATCTTAAATATAGTTACATTCATTATTGTATGAATAATTCTATTGTTATAATAAAATACTACTTTTGACTTTGTGTAATAGTGCTTTCCAATTCTTTGACTCATATCAAATGCACAATATTAAACTTTTCTTAAAAAATAAACAAAATTTGCAAGTACTCTCAGGAATTAAAAACATGATAAACTCTCAATTTTAGCCTTTTGAGTTTAGTGGTTACTGTAAATATAATTAAAAAAACATGTTCAATTTAAAAAAACATTTTTGGAGACTTGTGGCAAAGGGTTTTTACCATTTTGGCACCAATTGTAATGAAGTTGAGTTAAACTCAGCAAATTTCACAGCAATGGGAAAAGTTAGAGGTCCTCAGTGTTGTGCTTTTGAATGTTCCAAATGTAAAAAAGTCTGTCCTAAGTTTTCATAAAGTATAAGAAGTGATAGTGAAGGGTCAAGTAATGAAGAATGAAAACTCAAAAGAAAACTTCCCAGGACATTTCATCAGTAAGCAATTTATTTTTACATGTATACTATTTTATAGATTGAAACTAGACTTGCATTACATGATAAACATCCTTTACAGATTTCCTGAGGATAAAGTTCCAGCTTCTTTGTCTGATAAACATCCTTTATAGATTTCCTAAGGATAAAGTTCTGGCTTCTTCATTGTCCATACCCAGCCTTTTTACTGAGCTAGATCACCATCTTTTTGACTCACCAGTTGGTGAAAATCATGTTGTTCAGTTGATCAAGAACATCAAGAGTTACTGCAAAGTTAAATTTTATCATCTTGGAAAGAAGACCACTGAGAATTCATCTGGATAAAAAATTGGGGAAAAATTAAGCAAACTTGTACTTTTTAACCACCAGTGATTTCATACATGGAATGTATCAGAGAAAGTTATAGTTATTACTAAAAATTTAGAGCGAAACCACCCAAGATGAAAGTGCAGACTCTGTCTCAAACATTTTGCTAAATATTTACTATGAAACTGCCCAAGATGAAAGTGCAGACTCTGTCTCAAACATATTTCTAAATATTTACTATGAAACTGCCCAAGCTGAAAGTGCAGACTCCGTCTCAAACATTTTACTAAAAATTTACAGTCAACAATGCCCAAGCTGATAGTGCAGACTCTGTCTCCAACATTTTATTAAAGATTTACAGTGAACAATGCCCAAGCTGAAAGTGCAGACTCCGTCTTAAAGATTTTACTAAAGATTTACAGTGAAAAATGACCAAGTGCAGACTCTGTCTTAGTTATAATAATTAAACATTTTACTAAAGATTTACAGTGAAAATTGCCGAAGCTGAAAGTTCAAAGTGAAGACTCGGTCTTAAACATTTTACAGTATAAACTGCCTTCGCTGATAATCTAAACGTTACTTACCAATTTTCTATTTCCATAAAGTGGTGCCAGAAACTGTAAGAAGATGTATATTATACGATATTTCACCAGAGAATCATCCACAGTTTGAATATGCACTTTACACTTGACAATATAAAGAATGCAGTAATTCGAAATTTTTGGCTTTAAAATGCGATTGAAAGACAACAACATCGCCAATTAATGTTTTTCTTGTAACCTTTTCCAAAAAAAGATGCGATTTCAACGCGAACATATCTCAAAAAGGTATTTTTAATCCACAAATGCAGAAAAATATAGTATTTTCTATAGAATTTCATTGATGAGTGGGAACGACCAATATGGCCGCCGCCTATTTTCATGGGGGAAACCGCTGAGATTTTTGGCTTCAGTTTTGTATTCTGAGATGCGCTATCTAGTGTATATGAGATATCTATGCTTCTCCACTGTACGATAGAATCTTTCAACGGTGGCATTAGCCTGGGGCCAATATGGGGTGACTTTGCGGTGGTATATACCATGGGAAGAGAAGAAGTCCTCGATCTCTCTAGAGACTAAATTGGAACCGTTATCAGAGGTGACTTGCTCAGGGAGCCCATGTGTTGCAAAAATCTTCTGTAGACGGCGAATGATAACTTCTGATGATGTGGCTCGAATAATCTCCACTTCTGGCCACCGTGAGCAGGCATCAACACACACTAGCAGGCTTTCTCCCGAAGGGAAGGGGCCACAGAGGTCAATATGAATGGACTGCCATGGTTTGGAAGGCATGGTCGAAGGACGAAGCGGTTCGGGTACAGTTGGCGGCATGGTGGACTGACAGGGTAGGCATGTCTTGACGAGGGTCTCTACTTCAGCATCGATTCCTGGCCACCACACCTTCTGACGGAGGAGTTGTTTAGTGCGCACAATGCCTTGGTGGCCTTCGTGAGCCAAGGAAAGGGTTTGATGGCGCAGGCATTTAGGCACGACAATACGAGTTCCTCGAAGCAGCAAGCCTTGGCTTGCTGACAGCTCATCTCGCACTTTGGCAAACCGCTGAAGGTCAGGGTTGTCTGGCCAATGGTTGTGCAATAAACATTGCTGAACCCGTTGCAAGATAACATCATCTTGAGTCGCTTTGGATATTTGTTCCAGTGTCATGGCTTTAGGAACCGCTTTCTCTGTAATAAAATTGATGTATTCTTCAGCTACATTCCGTTCACGGGTGGGCTGGCCACTAATTGGCAATCGGGACAGCACATCTGCAGGGTTTGTCTTCCCTGGCATGTGGACCACTTTAAAACGATATGGCTGAAGACGAAGGACCCACCGCTCTATACGTGGAGGTGGTTTTCCCTTCGGGCTATAGATAAACTCGAGTGGCTTGTGGTCAGTGAAAAGTTTAAACGTAGTGCCATAAAGATACAGGTGGAACTTTTCACACCCCCACACAACTGCGAGCGCCTCTCTTTCTGTCTGTGAGTAGCGCCTCTCAACATCGGTGAGAGTTGCATATGCAACAGGGCGTGTCTCGTGGCCATCGGACTGCATTAGGATGGCGCCTAACCCAACTGGACTGGCATCCACCCTAAGCTCAGTTTCTGCTTCAGGGTTATAATGAGCCATTACGCAGTCGCTGGTCAAACTGTATTTTAGCTCGTTGAATGCAAGCTGCTGTGGTTTTCCCCAAGCCCATTTGGCCCCCATTCGAGTTAACTGCCTAAGTGGCTCGGAAATGGTGGCCAAGTTTGGAATGAAGCGAGCACAATAATTGACCAAACCAAGAAAACTTCGCACCTGCCCGGCATTGGTTGGAGCGGGGGCATTTTGGATGGCCTCTACTTTCTTGTCATCTGGAGACAGGCCGGCAGCAGAGATTTTAAAGCCAAAGAAAACTAGCTCAGGAACACTAAAGAGACACTTGTCTTTGTTGAGAGTGAGCCCGTTGGCATGCAGGCGTTGCAGGGTCTGGTCCAAACTGCGGTCATGTTCAGCCTGGGTTGTTCCAAAGACAATAATGTCATCGGATATGTTGCGGACCCCTGGGATCCCAATTAGCACTTGCTGGATGACAAACTGGTACATTTCAGATGCTGACGACAAACCGAAAATTAATCGTTTATACCGCTTTAAACCTTGGGGAGTGGAAAAAGTTGTCAGGCCACGAGAATCTGGGTGGAGCTCAATTTGGTGGTAACCCCAACGCAGGTCTAGCTTGGAGAAAACTGTTGCCCCATTGAGGGCTTGCACCGTCTCTTCCAATGTGGGGATGGGGTGGCGTTCACGAATGACGGCTTCGTTTGCCCGCCGCATATCAACACAGACGCGTACTTCACCATTCGCCTTCGGGACTGCGACTAAAGGTGAAACCCAGGGGGTTGGGCCCTGGACCGACTCGATAATATCAAGATCCTCAAGCTCTGTAATCTTCTTGTCTACAACTTTACGTATGTGGAAAGGTACCCGTCTAGGTGGCTGGGCAACTGGAGGGATATCGGGGTTCACATGCACTTTCAATTGGTAATTGTTTAGCTTACCTACACCACTGAACACTGTTGGATACTTGGAAAGTATGACTTCAACATCACTTTGCATTGTTACAGCATTAAGAGTAGTTCCAGAAAGTAGCCCGATTCTCAATAAACCAAGAGCAATTGCTGTAGACTTTCCAAGTAAGCAGCCTTAGTCGATTGTATTCACGACGATAAATTGGGCATTGGTAGATGAGGCTGTTTCACCGGAAACAGCTGGAATCGTAACCATGGCATCGAATTTCCCCAGTACCGGAAGTGGTGTAACAGCTCCATAGGAAAACAACTTTACACGCGAATCTGAGAGTTTTATAGTGTTTTGGGGTCCATTATAAAGACGATTGAAAGTGTTCTTGTCCAGAACATTCACACTGGCTCCCGAGTCAATACTAGAGACCTTAAGATTGACGTTTACGGCAAACGTCAAACCGCTAGCGAAGTTTTTGATTTTACAACTCTATTATTATAGCTTTCACACCAGTTTTGAAATATGTTAAACTTATTAAACTTGTGCTCTTTATCAATAATTTAAGAAAGCAAATTAACCACTAGTCATGCCATTCACCAAAGCAGTAAATTAAGATTTGGCGTTTGAAGTTGACGTTTGGCGTATAAATTTCATGCTTTAACGACTACAAGCCCTCGTAGCAGTTCAAGCATGAAATTTATACGCCAAACGTCAACTTCAAACGCCAAATCTTAATTTACTGCTTTGGTGAATGGCATGACTAGTGGTTAATTTGCTTTCTTTAAATCATTGATAAAGAGCACAAGTTTAATAAGTTGAAGATATTTCAAAACTGGTGTAAAAGCTATAATAATAGAGTTGTAAAATCAAAAACTTCGCTAGCGGTTTGACGTTTGCCGTAAACGTCAATCTTAAGGTCTCTATTAATCACTGGAATCTCCGTGCCATGAACAGTAATCGTGACGCTGGTCTGTTGCTCGCTGTTCTTTGGGTCGTTCAATGTAAATACATATTCGTCATCGTCAGAAAAGTTGTTGTTCTCTCGCTGTTCAATGTGGCGAACTCTTTCGGATTGTTCTGGACGCCTGGCGCTCTTACAAACACGACCAAAATGTCCAAGTTTGCCACACTTATTGCATGCTTTGTTATTGGCTGGGCACGAAGCATCTTTTGCTCGATGACCGTCACGACCACAACAATAACAAGCTCGTTTGGGAAGTCAATCGTCTGACGGCGAGTCTTGACGCTGTGGGCTAGCTGCAAGACGCTCTGAACGAAACTTCTCGACTGGTATTGGTATTCGATCAAGGCTGGATAACATATGCAGAGCTTTTCTCAGCATCGCTCTCGGAGTTCTTGGTGCCTTCGATTTGTTGTGCTTGGCGATCAGACGCTTCGAGGGCTCTAGCAATGCGTAAAATAACATCGAGGGTAAGGGTTTCTTCGCGAAGTAACCGACGCCGTAAAAGCGTTGAATAACATTTCTCCAGGACCTGATCGCGAATCATTTCGTTGGACAAGGTACCATAATCACAGGTTTGTACTAATCGTTTGAGTCTAGTAACGTACGTATCCATCGTTTCCGAGGGGTCTTGGGTGGCTTGTCTAAACATATGGCGTTCAAACGGGATGTTCTTTTGCGGTTTGAAGTAGGCATCCAACTTTTCGAGAGCAGTAGCGTAGTCATCTCCCGTGTCACTTAGTGTTTCGAAAACTTCTTGTACTTCTGGTCCAGCTAAATGCAACAACAATGCCCGTTGTCGTTTCTTGTCCGTCACGTTCGAAGCGACCAGAAAATATTCGAAACTTTTAACCCATTTTGTCCAACGTTGACTGAGCGTAGCATGCACTGTCAGATAACACAGAGAAGGGTGCTAGAGTGGGAAGTTGCAAAGCTGCCATAGGTTCAATGTCTCGTCGCCAATATTATATTCTTTTATTTCTGTAAACGTATACTTGTAACTACAAAGTCTGCCATGCATATAATATATTCACTAAGTCCACATGCAAGCTTTTCCCGCCATCCCAAAGTCACGTGTCCTCCGCTGGACACTATACTATGTCAGGGGTGAATGACTTGTTGAGTCAAATTAAACTGAGCAGTCCGCAACAACAAACAAAAATTCATGACTATTTTTCAGCGGTTTAAGCTCTGACATTTTTATTTTACAGTAGTACATGTAGTCTCAACTCAGAAACAATTCAGAAACAATTTGCAGTTTTATATACTTTTTAATTGGTTACTTGGTATGTGTATTGAAATATATTACTGTTTAGTTCAAATTTAGTTATATTAAATGTTATATTTAAGCCGTGTGGCAATTTTCTACAAGACCTGTATTAAGCGGTCAACCTGTATTAAGCGGTCACTTGCGAAATCCCCGAGGGTGACCGCTTAATACAGGTTCGACTGTATATATACAAAGCATATACATTGATATCGAAACACAAAATTCAAAGTTTTGCACAATTTGAGCTTCGTGACTCTGGTATAGACGTATGGGTCTAATGATTTAATTGTGTTACATTCCACTGGAAATCACCAAAATGAGCTTTTTTAAAAGTCTCGCGTGAGGCTCCAAGGCAATAACTCAAGCTAGTTTTTATATATAACGTGTACTCATGCTATACCATTCCGTGGATGAAATATAAACAAATTCACGATTATCGCACATAGTAAATTTTCCCTTCAAATCCAGTGACAAAATGCAATTGTAAGATTTGACTAAAAATAGCCAATTTCAACAACGTCTGTCAGGCCAGTTAAAGCCTCCTGGGCCATTCTATATTGATAAAATTGTTCTTTAATACTTGAATTATAGTCATTAAACCATCAAAACTATCTACGATCAGTTTTGAATCTGTCGCGAAGTGATGAAATTGACCATGGCAACGGCATTGTCTGCGGCTAATTATAGCCTTCCTGAGACGAATTCTTGATTTCTGATATTTGTACGTTTATCGACCAAATATTGAATATCTAACTCAAACACCATTTATAACTAGGTATTACCTAAATTTGAGGAAAATATGAAAGAAATCGATTTTTCATCTATTGCCACTGTTTGCTCGATATTTACGGACAGTCGCTCTTAAGCGGGATGGATTCAGGAGTAATTGGTCGAAAGTTTGCTGGGTCGTTTGTTTCTCCTTTCTTGTGAATTAATATTGTGCATGCTTTTTTCCATTCAGATGGAACAACACCGCGTGACCAAGCTGCATGGATTATCTCAGTCAAGTAGGAACGTAGATACGGACATCGTTTAAAACAGATTATTGATATCTGATCAAGTGGGCATGGTGAGCCAGACAGTTTCATTTTACGTATGACGTTTGTAATCTCTTGATAGATCGGGGGGCACTCTCCTCCGCAGAGTCCGAATTATTTAGGAGTGGTCGGGGGGTCAAGCTTAAAAGGTGTTTGAGGAGAAGCAAATTTTGGGATCCAACTAAGGAATATTGAATGTTTTATTTGGGTTAATCGCGGAGAATGTTTTGGTAAAATAGGATGTACATTGCGCTAAATTAAATGATGGAAGTGAACTTGTATTCTTTTTGAAAAATTTTTTAACGTAACCCCAGAAGTTTTTACCAATTAGATGATCGTGATCAATGTCTGCAGATGCATGACTATCAGAATTATGTAGTTCCGTATTATTTGACTTATTAAGGTGGATGCGCAATTTCTTCGCGACAAATTTTATCTCCAGAATACTACCGTTTTCCAGTTTTAATTTCTTTAAAGCTTTTTTTAAATCCTTTGTTGAAAATGTTTGGTATTTTCTTTCGAATTCTACACTGCTATTGTTATCAACATGTCCAAAATTCCCACTAAAGTAATTGTAGACGACGGTTACCATGGTATTGATGTTGTTATTTAGATCATCCGGTGTGATTGGGTGATTCAAAAAAGTTAACTTGAAAAAGTCGTTGGCAGTTGACCATTGTAATGGCGATTGGGGTAGTTTTATCCCCCTTTTTAAGTCGGGGAAGTTTTCTTGGGTGTTCAAAGGTGATATTTCAGGGTTAACTGGGTCAGTGCTATCCTCATGATTGTCGTCGTTCAATGCTTCAGTCATTTGTTGTTGCAGTTCGCACAATTCACACTTTTTTGAGTTATTGAAAACGCGCTTCAGGCAATTAATCAAAAACGTTCTAATATAACATATGTATTATATAATACACTTTTACTAATGATTTTGGAGACAAGATGCTATTTTAAAATCTTAAATTTGCGGATTTCAAGCTTGTCTTCGCCAAGGGTGGCGCCAGAGGTGGCTGGGCAGCGACAATCCCCTGTCGCAAAGCTATCCCCCCCGTCTGGGAAAAATAGCATTTTTGTAAGCAGTTTTGTAAGCAGTGTGTTTTGAAGTGGCCTTAAACAGACTGTTGTATTGAAGACAATTGTATTCTGGTGCATAGTATCCTCAAACTGCTTGAAATACTGGTGCAGAGATTCAAAATTCAAAACCTTCAACCATTCAAACCAGCCATGATGTTGGGATTTGAGATATTATATCCAGGGCAGGGACTTGGAAAATCTTTAACTGAAAAGGATTGGACTGTCTACGTACGTTCATTTAAATTTCTCTTTTCTTTATCTTGTTCTTCGTCATTTTCAGTTTCTTCTGTCAAATTAAAGATCAAATTTTCATTCAAATCATTAACTTAAAAATTAGAATTAAATTCGGAAATGCGTTATAAAACAAAGAACAATTTCCAAAACTATTATGCATTTTTATTGCGATTGTCGTATAAAGTATGTGTGAAAGAAATGAAACTAATCCTCAGTCTTGTTGCCAAATCAAATTTCCCCAGAATCTTCCATTTTGTCCTGGTCAGCTTTCCATCGAAAAATTTGGTGCTATCTTATATTTTCCACAGAAAATTACTTGAGCAATCAAAATAAAAACAATTACCTTTATCATCCTCAATCAGTACATCTTTTGCTGCAGCTGGCTCGTCATCGACGACCTCTTCTTCAGCTGTCACAGCTAGAATGCAATGATTATATGATTGACAATTTATATCAATTGTTTTCCATGCAACACTATATAAGTATTATATAGTCCGCCGAGTTGGCATGGCGCCGTTCGGGGCGTAAGCCTGGGGCAAGGGTACTAATTCCGCACGGCTATTTACATCTGAGTAAAGGAAGGCTGCTAACAGTTTCAAAAGTGGGGTAGTGGGTGGCATTGAGTGGTCATGTCACTGATCTCAAATATGGCAGACTGTCAGGAGTGGAATGAGCCAACTGCTAAAATTTCAGTTGAAATTCAATTTTAGTTTAAAATTTCATTTCATTTCGTTTTAAATTTTGCTTGAAAGAGATGACAAGAAGAGATATAAGATGGGAAATGATGAAATATAAAGTAAGTTTGTATGTTGTTTTCGAGTTTTCTATTTGCCTCCTAAATTGACCTATTTTAAATTAAAAAAAAACTTACAGAATTTAAAAAAAATCAATTATATCCAAGAGCGAACTGTATGATTGAACTATTAAATACTGCCCATGCAAATACCGAAAAACAGCTCGGACCCATTTCTAGTATACCAAACGGAACTTACTAGACTACTGCAAGATCGGATCTGGTCTCCAAAACAGTCTAGTTCTCTCAATGAATGTAGCAAAAAATGGTTAATGAATACAAACTTGAAAAAAGCTAAGGTTATAATGACCCTACAACAACATAATTCTAAACTATACAAAAACTTAACTTAAAATGAATACACTGATCTCGATCTAAAACTCACTCCAAATTCGCAGTTGCAACTCAACAACTGAGTGCACACATTATTTAAAATTCGAAAACATCTTGATTTTCACAAATTAACTCAAGCTTGCCATGATGGCATAGTCTCTCCAATCTTACTCTACAACTCCGAGGTTTGGGGGATCTATACCAACAACTATTTCATTAAATGGACTGAAAAAATACACCTAAAATTTTGTAAAATTTATTTGGGTGTAAATAGGAAAGCGAGCAACATCGCTAGCAGGGGTGAACTAGGTAAATTCCCTCTGTTAATCACCATATTCAAAAGACTATTTTCTTTCATTAAACACATTAGTCAACTACTAGATACAAGGATAGCGAAACAAATTCTTTACCTTTCAAAAAAGACTTTACTCAAACGGTAAAGACTCATTTTACTCTAATGCCACTAACATAATCAAAAACTTCTATCCCAATATTGAAGAAACAATAGATATTAAAAATTTTATCCAGACACAAACATAAATAATTTCGTAAAAACTATTAAAGATAACAATTATATATACCATTTTGGAAACATCAAATTGAAAACCCTACAGTAATACTCTCATTTTATTCTACATTTAAGAAAGGTTATAACTTAGAAGAATACTTCAATAACATCAAAGATCCCAACCAAAGAACAATGTTCTCAACATTCCGTGTAACTATAACTATAAAATAGAAATAGAAGAGAGATTTTGTAAAAACTGCGATAAACGTACAGTTGATTCAGTTGAAGACGAATTTCACTTTTCATTCGAATGTGAAAATACGAGAATTTGCGAAATAACTCGCACAACATCCTGAAAGACTATTTCCAAATGAGCATCGATCACAAATGAATTAAAGAGAAAATTATTAAGTGATCTCTTTGTCATTGAATGATCCTGCATGTGATAACGGATCTATTTTCGAAGCGTATTTCGAAATGTTTTATACAACAGACAACACTAGCCCTTTACCATAAACTATAATTATATAATTATACTTTCGCTTTCTTATATTAAACTCTTTCTAATTCTTTCTGTTCTTCAATTTTGATATTTGTATTTGTTATATATCTTTCCTATTTAATATATACCCTTTTACATTTAACAAATATAAAACTTTTTTGTGTTGATATATACTAGCTACAGTTATATCAACATTCGTGCATGGAAATTGTCGTAAATGTCGAAATTTCGTGGGGTTTCTGCATGTACGTATTTCTATAGTATACAGCTTAAATGGTACAACTTTTCGAGCAGTTTCTAGAACACGAGATATGCTTATTCGAGCTTGAAAGAGCCGGTTTTGATGTGTAAAGAGTTATTTACAAACATATTAGTTAAAGCCATGAATTACAATGTACATCTGACTGGTGTCATGCAAAAGATAATTATTGGGGGAGACTATAGCAAAAAAGTGCAAAAAGAGAAGGTGTACGTACAGAAAACTAGAACAACGATTCAAGGCATGAAACACTACAGATTTTAATGACTTACCGTAGGTGGATGCCAATTCCAACAGTAAGAAAGCAAGTAAAGTAGCCGTTTTCATTGTTCTTGGTAATTGCTCAATCTTCAGCTTGATGTTTGCAATGACAAATCTGACTGTGAAAATATTTCTGTCACTGTCCCTTTTATACACTTTCACATCCTTGCATTCTTTCCATTACGAAAACGTCTCCATGGTTTGTTATATTATGTTATGTTATGTTATGTTACAGACGAAAGTACTTTCAAGTGACAGAAATTAAATATATTGGATGAGTAAAACAAAAAATTGACAGTCATATTGTTCTCCTTACGCGCTTAGAAAGTAGACATGCCAATTAAATATATAGCTATTAATTGACAAAATCCAGAATAGATGTTCACGAGACGATGCATATACAAGGTGCACTGAACTATTTTCGAAAAAAAACTGAAAGCTTCAGTTAGAACAAACATTCAATTATAGTGTTAGTTTCTTCTTCCAGTGGCAATGATAGCTTATTTGTGTTGAGAATATTTTCCTTTGTTTTTATCCATATTTTCCTATCATTTTCTATACTGTCCTAAAACTTTTCACGTTAACGTCATGTTAATCATACACTCCTGATCCCTTTTCTTCATCGTATACTTATTAAATGCATGACCCTTCATATCAGGAAATACTGTTAAATCAAGTATCAAAACAACACTAGAGCCTGGACCATTCACTTGACTCTCAACCCCTTGCTCATGTCATGAATTCAGGAAGTACGTCGTTGCCAGAAGTACTTAATTGAAACAATTAGGAGAACACTCTAGTCTACATGATTATTTTTTTATTATTTAATGATTTGCCCATGTGATATGCCATTATTTATATAAAAAATAAAAGTAAAGTAGATACGTTTGGGCTAGAAGTCTATAGAAACCTTGAACAGGCTTTTGGATTTAGACCCCTAGTTGTCTTGGTGCTAATATATATATAGTTTATAAATTGTCATCGGTTCTAAGTATTTACAAAAAGTGAGGATAAAATGTTACAATCAATATTAGAAGGAGAGTATATGCTAATATCTATTTACATGAAGAGAAATTACAGTTAAAGTGTTTTATAAGATTATTTACATAGAAAGTGTATTTTGGAATTTTTCCTAAAAATGGGACGTGATGTTATTATTTCTAAATCACTGTCAAGATTATTCCAAACGTCCACCCCTTTCACTGAAAGCGAGTGCTTGACGTAGTTAGTTCTCTGATAAGACTTAGTTGAGTTCGAGTGTTGTTTTTGTGAATTTGGTTGTTTGAAATAAAAACGTTTGTGAAGAATTTTGGTAAGTTAAGTTTTTAAACCATGATGATATCGGAACATGAAAAGACTTGTAAGGTATAGTTATTTAACTTACTAAGATTCAAGATCTGTAGGTCAATAAATATTTTTTCAGTGTGAGAAAAATTGAACTGAAATGTCATCAGACGAATTATTTTCTTTTGAATATTTGTTAACTTTTGAATTCTCGTTTTGTATGTGTTACTCCATGTTAGATTGCCAAGAATTAGATATGGATAGACTTTAGCATAGTATATTAATTTTAAAGTATTCAAATTTGTAAAATGACGAATTTTTGCATTAATTCCTGCAGATTTTACAATTTTCTTTGCAATGAAATCGATACGATTATGGTTGCCGGATTGTAGCAAAATTCAATACACACAATTTATATTCAGTACACACATTTTATATTCAATACACTCTTATAATATTCAATAAACCGTTTTATATTCAATAATTACCGAAATATATTCAATACTTTCGCAAAAACATTCAATAACCTTCATTAAATATTCAATACAACATCTGAAATATTCAGTAAATTACACCGTAAAATATCAATGCAATAGAAAAAAGTATTCAAAAAAGTATTCAATAAAACAATCCTCAAAAAATATTCAATAGCTTTTGACCAGCGGTATGCCGCCAAAAAATAACATCCACCACTGGCAGTTTAATACATTCCCGTAGATTTCCCATCGGCGAACATCTTGCGACTAAATATTTATAAAGCGACATCTTGCAGTTCGGTTTCTTTTTCGGTTTTATAGAAGTATTTTAATCATACTTTTCATTTGTAAATAAAGTAGACACTTATATGTATAAACAGTGATTAAAGGCACAGTTCAGCCTGTTGAACGATGGTTTTTAAGGCGCATTTCAGCCCTTTTAATTGAAAAAACTAACTAGGAAAATCAATTAAGCGTAATTCAAGATCACCAAACTTAATGTTTTTAACATTTTAAAACCTTTATATTGTTAAAAACATCGAATTTACTGATTTTGAATTATGCTTAATTGATTTTCCGAGTTAGTTTTTTCAATTAAAAGGGCTGGAATGCGCCTTAAAAACCATCGTTCAACAGGCTGAACTGTGCCTTTAAACACTGCACGTAAGCTTTTTGACTTGCAATCATTTTAAAATACTGTAAGTTAATGTAGTTTGCTGCGTTACAGTAATATTTTATATGTACTTTATAGTACATACAAAGACGAGTCTGACTTTGAACATTAAGATGGCTAGTTGACGGCTGCTCACCTCTCATAGAAGTATGAGGATGGTTTCCACTATTATCTCTATTCTTTTCGGAGTCTTCGGAGATATTAAATTTCCTCCAATATTCTGCGTATTTCAGATCTTCTATCCATGACCCCATGGATTAAAAATGTAAATGGAAAAACATCACAAACAGCCAATAACCATTTCCTGGTTCAAAGTCAGCCTATACGAGTCAGACTCGTCTTTATATGTACTATGTTATTAAAAAGTATTACTGTAATATAGCAAACTACATAATGATTGCAAGTCAAAAAGCTTATGTGCAGTGTTTAATCACTGTTTAGTGTTTATACATATAAGTATCTACTTTATTTACAAATGAAAAGTATGATTAAAATACTTCCATAAAACCGAAAAAGAAACCGAACTGCAAGATGTCGCTTTATGTACTACTTAAAGCACGCGTAGGAGTGTTTTATCTCATATAAAACACGACGCGTAGCGGAGTGTTTTATATGTGATAAAACACGATTACGTGTGCTTTAAATAGCTTAAAAAACGACTCATCTTTTGATGAGTACATTAGCGAAGTAATTTTTAAAATAAACGTTGTCTAAACCGAGAAAATCAAAGCTAAAGTTTATGTAAATTAACATGATTTTTTGTCACATATAAAACCACGACACGCTTATCATTTTCCTTTGTGTTTTGCTCCTGAATTATTAATGAGTTTTTTAAAAATATTTAGTCGCAAAATGTTCGCCGTTTTACAGTAAAGATGGCAATTTTTAGGGGAATGTATTAAACTGCCAGTGGTGGATGTTATTTTTTTGGCGGTATACCGCTGGTCAAAAGCTATTGAATATTTTTTGAGGATTGTTTTATTGAATACTGTTTTCGCCGCATTGAATATTTTACTGTGTAATTTACTGAATATTCCAGATGTTGTATAGAATATTTAACAAGGTTATTGAATGTTTTGCGAAGATATTGAATATATTTCGGTAATTATTGAATATAAAACGGTTTACTGAATATTCTTAGAGTGTATTGAATATAAAATGTGTGTATTGAATATAAATTGTGTGTATTGAATTTTGCTACAATCCGGCAACCATATACGATATCGTTCAATGATAAACATTCATCAATAACTATACTCCTAAAAAGGTTGTACTCTTGACTTGTTTGATATCATCGTTATTGATGGACAACTTTACTACGTGTTTCTTTTTCTTTTTAGAGGATCGAAATAAAATAAAATTGGTTTTTGATGTGTTCGATCATAGATATAGTTTGTTTGTGTTTAACCATTCGGCTATTTTGTCCACTTCAGTCTGAAGAGTTTCATTTAGTGTTTTGAGGCATGAGTGACTATAAAATATATTTGTTTTTCATCAGCAAACAATAGCATTGTTGCTATATATATGTTGCTTTCTTTTTGCCTAATGTATTTTAGTTTCTTTGGTAAGAGGCTATGAAGTTTATGGTTTGGTTCCAACATTTTTTTAATTAGAGATACACATAATTCGTCCCTACGTTGTTCCAAAGTTTGTAATTTTGTCTCAGTTATTGCTTGGTCGTAGTCTAGGTTTGGGTAAATTATTCTAAGTACACGAATTCAAAAACGAGTACTTAGAATAATTTACCCAAACCTAGACTACGACCAAGCAATAACTGAGACAAAATTACAAACTTTGGAACAACGTAGGGACGAATTATGTGTATCTCTAATTAAAAAAATGCTGGAACCAAACCATAAACTTCATAGCCTCTTACCAAAGAAACTAAAATACATTAGACAAAAAGAAACAAGAACTAACAGTCAGAAATTATATAATTTCCCCTCTAAAACCGAACGTTTTAAACACAGTCCTTTAGTTTACTGTATATACTTATATAATTCTAGATTAGTTGATTAGGATCATCATTTTTAAAATTTTATCAGTTAATGTACAAATAGGTATGCATTAGTAGTTTTTATACATATTGTAAATAGATATAGATTAGTAAAACTTTAATTTTAATGAATGACATGTAAATATATAATATATATATACTTTTTTATACCCAAATTTGTAAACACATTGTAAATTAGCGTAACTACAACTAAATGTGTTAATAAACCATTACCATTACCATTACCATATATCACTACAGTTTTGAATATCGTTTATATAGAGGATAAAAAGTAGCGGACCGAATATTGAGCCTCGCGGGACCCCAGGTTGTACCATCATTTCGCTTGACATTATTTGTTTATATTTTACAATTTGTTTCCTGTTTGTAAGATAATTTTCAAACCAAAGTTTTGCTATGCCACAAATTCCGTAATACACCGTTTGTTACACATGACGATAAAACGAGCTACCAAGTGTATATGAACCAGCGACCAATAAAACGTAGAGAGATATGCATATTGACGGATTTGACAGCGAATTGCATGAAACGCGTATTCAATAAAATTTGAATATGCATAATCAAGAAATAAGCATACAATAGCATGTATATGGGAACCATCCAAATCTAGAGATTAGACATCAGAGTCAAGAATGCATTCATTCTAATGAAAACGTTGTTAATTAATATTGTTAAGCACCAACAGGCGAACAATAAAATGAATGTATAAGTGGTCTTGCATTGTGACGTTGTGATTGACAGGTGATTGGGATTAGACGACCTGGTTTGTCTTCTGTTGTTATTTTTATAATTGCCAACTGTGTGTTTCTAATAACAATAGGATTGTTATCAATACGTTATTTAACACAAATATCTTTTCAACTAAACACTACAATATCCAGGGTGTATAAAAAAAAAGGAAACCTTTAGAAATCAAGCATATTGTTAAAATTTGAATGCCTTTTCAGTTGCACATATGCTGAACCGTAGTGCGTGAAATATTGATGGGGGTGCATATACACCATTTGTTAATCAAAATGGGAAAACAAGCTACCATGTGTATGAACGAGCGACCAATAAAACGTAGAGATATGCATGTGGACGGATTTGATGGGGAATTGCATGAAACGTGTATTCAATACAAAAATTTGAATATGCATAATCATTCATTATCGCCTAAAGGTTATTCAACGTCAAGAAATAAACATACAATAGCATGTATATGGGAACCATACAAATCTAGAGATTAGACATCAGAGTCAAGAATGCATTCATTCTAATGAAACGTTGTTTATTAATATTGTTAAGCACCAACAAGCGAACAATAAAATGAATGTATAATCATTACAATGGTATTAATTGCCAACTGTGTGTTTCTAGTAACAATAGAATTCTTATCAAGTTCACTTAACATAAATATCTTTTCAACTAAACATTACAATACATGTGCGACATCAAGCATTAAATGTCATATCCTCCAACCATGAATGGCCGGCTCCCGTTTACTGTAAGCAGCGTAGAGTGTATATTTGCATGAAGCGGTACCTTTGCCCGCAGTTCGCTGCATTTGTTGTACCGATGTTTCGCTATAAGGCGTCTAGGAGAAGATGTGTTCGAAACTCTTCCTAAGGTAGTCTTCGATTTCTTGCCGTGTTTCTATCACCCGTCAAACGCTGAATTCCGGTGTCTGTGTTCTTGTGCGATTCTATTATGTACGCCTGAACATGTCCATGTACCTACACATTGTATGTATGTAAATGTAATCTACAGATACACACAAACCATGTTCCATATTTTTTGTTTGTGTGAGACTGCTTAATAATTGTTTAAACAAAGTGCGCAAGCCCTTTCGTGTCTCTATACACCGGGGTGTTAGGAATATTCCATCACATTCATGCCAACTACAGTATAGGTAGTGTTTAGTTGAAAATATATCGGTGTTAAATGAACTTGATAAGAATTCTATTGTTATTAGAAACACACAGTTGGCAATTAAGACCATTGTAATGATTATACATTCATTTTATTGTTCGCCTGTTGGTGCTTAACAATATTAATAAACAACGTTTTCATTAGAATGAATGCATTCTTGACTCTGATGTCTAATCTCTAGATTTGTATGGTTCCAATATACAGGGTGTCTCAAAAAAAACCAAAATCATTGAAATAACGTATTGTTCGAATTTCAATGCCGTAACACAAAGGATTTTGACAGGGTGATTAATTTGTTTTAAAAAATTAAAATATCTTTGTAAAGTGAACGTTTGTTTGCTCATGGGAATTTAAAAATGCTTCGTAAATTCGTGGGTTTAGTACTTTATGCCTGACATAACAAGTTTACGCTGAGTATTACCATTCATTATAGCAGTTACGTCAATCTTTTATGCACTCGTGGGATTAACTTAGTGCTAGGGCATTGAATATCGAACAATACGTCAATTTCAATGATTTTGGGTTTTTTTTGAGACACCCTGTACAGGGTGTATCAATAAAAACACAACCTCGGAATTTCCTAAGAAATCACGTTGATAATTCTTAAGCATAAAAGATTTTAGGCCCCTGGGAATTGAAATTCGAATTGCTAATAGATCATATTACTGTTGTTGTGATTAAATAAATGCATAAATTTTGCTTTATGCACTCGCGTGTGCAGTAATTTTGACAGTTATGCTATTTTAAATTCCCAGCCGCCTAAAATCTTTTGTCTTTAAAACAATGTCGATTTCTTGGGAAATTCCGAGGTTGCGCTTTTTTTGATACACCCTGTACATGCTATTGTATGCTTATTTCTTGACGTTGAATACCTTTAGACGATAATGAATAATTATGCATATTCAAATTTTTGTATTGAATACGCGTTTCATGCAATTCGCTGTCAAATCCGTCCACATGCATATCTCTACGTTTTATTGGTCGCTGGTTCATACACATGGTAGCTAATTTTATCGTCATGAGTAACAAATGGTGTACCTACACATTGTATGTACTGTATACAGTAATCTACAGATACACACAAACCATGTTCCATATTTTTTGTTTGTGTGAGACTGCTTATTGTTAAACAAAGTGCGCAAGCCCTTTCATGTCTTTATACAGTAAACCGGGGTGTTAGGAATATTCCATCACATTCATGCCAATTATAGGTGGTGTTTAGTTGAAAAGATATCGGTGATAAATGAACTTGATAAGAATTCTATTGTTACTAGAAACACACAGTTGGCAATTAATACCATTGTAATGATTATACATTCATTTTAT